GGGAGCCCAAGCGGCCGGGTTGTTCTATACTGGAAGCAAGTGCTTAATACTCTTCGGGCTGGCTGCCACCTCACTATACAAAGCTCAAGGTAAAACCTACATTGTGTCGGCAGATCCGCTTTTTATGAGCCCCAACTGCCGTCGGCTCGTTTCGCACATCGCTTGCACGGCCCAATCAGAGGCGTCGAAAAGACGGTTCCAGAAGTTCTCGGTCGCTCGACGCCTCTGATTGGTCAAAATGCCAGCGGTTTCGCTCCTATTTTGTCAGTGTTGGTCGTTCGAAAAACGACCGCGTTGTCGCCGGCGCCTGTGATTGGCCAAAATGCTGCTGCCAGAGAAAGGACGAGCAACGGGAATCTTTCCGGCAGCGACACGCTCGCTTCTGATCCGGCGGCGCGCCGAAGCCGACGGAAGCAGCATCATCGCAGAGCGGGCAGCGAAGAAGGGTTGGGTGACCTCATGGACATGCAGCGTGTACTTGGACACGTCGGTAGCAATTAGATTAGCAGTAGAGGTGACGCGCCTTCGTAGGGTTTTCTACTTGGTGGGCCCCTGCATGGCGACTAGAAGTGAATGGGTGCTTTTGCATTGCTATGCGAAGCTCGGAGCTGAAGGACGGTACCTACTAGCGTTGGCCAACACGAGGAGGGAGACTCGAGAACTCGAGGAAGGTCTGGTCTGCAGGCGTTGCACAGAAATGACACACGTCATTTGGCTCGGCCAATCGGCGCACGCTTAGATAACACAATGACGTGGCAAGTGGAGAGAGTGAGGTTCGGACAACGGCGACCGATGCCGAACATGGCGCACGTTGCTGCATGGCGTGGTGACAGCAATGAATGGTCCGAGGCAGAGGCTTGGGAAAGCTCGCTGGTTATCGCACTCACCAACTTGCTTTGCCATGGTTGCATTGTTCCGACTCGCGCTAGCGTCTTGCTTGATGCCCAACGTCTTGGCGTCCCTTGGCCTCTGCTCGGCGGTCAAGCCGTACTCGTACTCGCTGGCCAAGGTCCAATTCCCGCACCTCAAGAATGCGATCGAGGTGGTCGAAACCCAGCCGATTGCTACGTGGTACACGGACCGCGACCCCGACTCGAAGCACCAAGCAGCGCTTGCGGTTGGCAACTGCCCCAAGGGTACACATCGAGTCGTAATTCGTTTCCTTATACCGTTTCTAGGTAGCCGCCCGACCATTGTCGTGTACGGTCTCCCCAACAAGGATTGTCAGGACCACCAATCGACCGACGGCGCCAACAAGACGCCAGAGCAGTACGCTCAGTTCTTGACGGACCTCACCACGACGGTCGGTGACAACAACGTCGTGTACATCCTCGAGCCGGACGCAGTCGGTCTCCTCGTCGGAGGCTCAGCGTGTGCGACGACGTTCGAGTACGAGCGCAACCTCATCAACGCCGTCTCGCTCCTCGGCCGCAACCCGCGCGCCGACATTTACGTTGACATTGGGTTCTGGGTGCTGGGCAAGGCCAACGACGGAAAGATCGCGCGCGTGCTCTCGACGCTGGACCCGACGGGCACCCGCCTCAAAGGCATCTCGATCAACACGTCCAACTTCCGCACCACGGCCGAGCTTGTCAACATGTGCGGCAACTTTTCGGCGACGGCGATGGCGACTGCGAACCGAACGGTCACGTGCGTGCTCGATGTCTCGCGCAACTTTGCGGGACCGGACCCGATGAGTCAGTGGTGCAACCCGAAGGGTCGGGGCATTGGCCGCCCGCCGACCATTACGTCGGGCGAGCGCCTCGTCGACTACATGCTCTGGATCAAACCGCCGGGCGAGAGCGATGGCAACTGCAACGGCGGCCCGACCGCGGGCGCATTCTTCCTCGACGGCTTTGTGGAGCTCTGGAACAACGGCTACTTTGTGCAAGTCAAGGGCATGCAAAAGGTGTCGGCCATTGCGCCGTAGAGACCTCGACAGCAGTTGGCTTTAACGGCAAACCGTTAAGAACCTTTTGGTTTGCCGATTTGCATGACTTTGCTTTTTGTATGGTATACTGGACACCTTGGGTTCGAATCTTGTTCGAAGCGGTATTTTCGAGTTGTTCGATATCCCGTTCGATGGCGTCCGAGGCGCCGCCAGCGATCCGCCTCCATGAAGCCGACGAGGTGACGGAGGGTACGAAGCTGCCCAACACCCTTCGCATCACGGTGCTCCGCGCGCGCAACATGGCCAAGGCCACGCTCCGTGCGACCACGAGTCTCTACTGCAAGCTTGCGTCGTCGGGCATGACGTACAAGACGGCCATCAAGGCGCGAACCATCGACCCTGTCTGGAACGAAGTACGGCGTCCTCGCTTATGTAGCATCTCATGCATATGGAGTAGACGTTTTCATTTCGCGCGAGCGACTACATGACGACCGTGACGATCGTTGTCGCCGACAAGGTCAACGTCAAGAAGCGCGTCGTGGGCCAGCTCCGCCTCGTCGCCTCCGACATCATGGCCGAGCCCACGATGCGCTCCACGCGCTGGTATACGCTCGTCGACAAGGCGTGGGCGCCCAACGAGAAGCTCGGCGAGCTCGAGATCAAGGCGTCGCTCGTCTACGAGCGCGAGAACGATAGCGTGCTCCAGCGCCGGGTCGACGTCCAGCGCGCGGTAGTCGCCCCCGCGGCCATCGCGGTGGGCGAGACGTGGGACACGTCCGACGCCGACGGCTTTGCGGTACAGCAAGACGAGACCGACGACGACGCGCTGCTCCGTAAGCAAGAGCTCGACCTCCAAGAGAAGCAGCGGCTCGAAGCCCTGCTCGTCAACATTCCGCGAGGTGATTTCCAGATCCAAGCGCACATCCTCGAAGCGCGGGATCTCAAAGGCGAAAACGTACCTCGTTTCTAGCGCTCGTCGACTTATCGACGCGTAGTTTGATGGGACGTCCGACCCGGTGTGCTTCGTCGAAGTCATGGGGAAGAAGCAGAAGACGTCGGTGAAAAGCCAGACGTTCTCATGCGTCTTTGACGAGCTCCTCTTCTTCCGCTTCCGCAACATTGGCCGGAAGGAGCTCGAGCAAGCCACCATCACGGTCGTCCGAGCACGTCGTAGCTTCCTTCTTAGCTGCTTGTAGGTATCGGTCTACGACAGCAACGTCCTTCGGCCCAACGTCGAGATCGGGACGTACCAATTTGACGTCATGAGCATCTACTGCCGCGTACAGATCTTCCGCTCGCCTACGACACCTCACGTGCTGTAGCCCCAACGCGAGGTGTACCGGCAATGGCTCGCGCTCGTCGACCACAAGAGCAAGAAGGACAAGGGCATCCAAGTACCCTAGCCCTCGTTTCGAGGCTAGTGCGGAAACAATATGTAGGGCTATCTGCTCGTGAGCATGGCGATCGTCGGGCCCGGCGAAGCCTTCCCCGTGCACGAAGCGGTCAAGGAGAACGACACCAAGGACATTCACGACCTCGTTTTACTGCCCCCGGCCATCACGCAATCCCTACACTTTCTTGTCGTGACCGTGTTTGCCGCCGAGGAGCTGCCAGCGCTCGACACGCCTACGCTCCTCTCGGCCGCCGGCATTGACGCGTTTGTCCGCGTCGACTTTGCGGGCAATGTCAAGTGCAAGACAAGCGTCATCTCGATCAAAGGCTCGCACAACTTGTCGGCCACGTTTCTCGAAGCGCTCTGGATCCCCGTGCTCATGCCTACGATGAGTCGCCGCATCAGCATCAGCGTCCGGGACCGCGAGCTCGGTCGGTCGAGCAAACTTGTGGGGCAGAGCATTCTCGACTTTCTCCAGCTACCGGCGATCGACGCCGACCTGGCCGACGTGGCCAACGCCACTCTCTTGGAGCAGACGCCGCTGCGGTACATCAACTTGTACGGGCCGCCGCTGCAAGCAAATCAGCACTCGGACGCGTGCAAGCACATGAAGCAGTTCCCTGAACACGGGTCGACGTACCGAGGCCGGCTCCTCGTGAGCGTGGCGCATGTGCAGCGGCCATCGCCCGACGAGAATGAAAAGATGCACGTCAAAGAGGTCACGATCGAGGACTGGGACGCCCTGCGGCCGCCCATGACGCGCTACGTACTCCGCGTTGCGCTCTTTTTTGGCCAAGACGTGCCACAGGTGCGACTGCGCACCGGTCTCTGCGCCAAGCTGTTTGTGGTCGTCAGCATCGGCCAGTACGCCGTGCGCTTTGATGCGATGCCCGTCAAGTACGTCCCGTGATCCTTTGCAGCTTGAACTATCGAGGTCTAGGCACGGGCGCGTGGTGTGGGGCGCGGCGCTCGACGCCAAGAACATTGAGCTCCCGTCCAACTTGACGCAGCTGCCAGACGTCATTGTGACACTCTGTCGCGAGTCCAGCGACGCCGACGACCTCCACGGTATCGCGTACGCACGCATTCGCAGCAGCGACCTCGTCCAAGCCGGCTTCCAAGTCCCGATGCGCTGGCTGCACTTGCTCGAGGAAGTCGCGCGGCCGCCCGGCTTGCTCCCGGGGCAGTCGCCGGGCTCGCTCCTCCTCCGCGTCGCGTTTGGCCGCGAAGAGCTCGCTGCGCGCGAGGCGTGGGTCACACCGTTTAATGCGATCTCTGAGACGCTGCCGTGCATGGTCCGCGTGCATATCTACCAATGTCGCGGCCTCTTCGCCAAGTCAACGACTAAGAACGGACTGCCGGACCCGCAGATCTTGGTGCATCTGTTGCACGAGACGAAGAAGACCAAAGCAAAGCGGCGCACGCTCGACCCGCTCTACTACGAGTCGCTCCAGTTCAACGTGGACTTGCCGAGCAACTTGGAGTTTGCGCCCGAGCTCTGGCTCCAGGTAGCATTGGGCGACGAGACATTGACGAGCTTACGCAACTAGGTGGTGTCGAAAACCGGCTACAGCAATAGCACGACCAAATATCTCGGCGACTTGCGTATTCCGCTGGCCAAAGCCACCAAGTCGACATCCGTGCCGTACCCAGTGTGGCACACGCTCCGCTCCGACACGAACGTCCTCGAAGACCTCGGTGTGACGGGGGAGATCTTGTTGTCCGTGCAGCTTCTCGTCAACCCGACGGCCGAAGAGCGCTCAATTCCGCTGCCGTCGATCGTGCCCGAGTGCCGGGACGCGTACGTCGACATCATTGCCATGGGCGTCCGCAACCTCAAGTCGAATCGCCTCTTCCACATCCAGGTATGCCTACTGTTCGTGGTACATCTTATTGTATGAAAACTTAGAATCCGTTTGTCGAGTTTGAGCTCACGGGCGCAGCGTCGGCGAGCCGCGAGAACGCCGAGCGCCGCACAAAAGCAAGCCATGAGCCGGAAAGCAAGAACGCAAATTTCCTCGAACGGCTCGTGATCCCGACGCGCCTCCCGATCGACACGCTCTTCAGTCCGCAGCTCGTGCTCAAGGTCTCTCCATTATTGGCTGTCACGCAGCGTCTCATTCGATTAGGTGTACGACAGTACGATGGGCGGACTGCACCAGCCGCTCATTGCGTCGTGCGTGATCGATTTGACCAAGAAGCTGCCGTGGAGCCCGAGCTACGAGCCGCCGTTGCAGCAAGAATTCGACTACCACCTCCACCTCGAGAAGCAGCGCAACCGCCAATCGCAAAAGCAACACAGCGACGCTGGCAGCGATGCCGACGAGAACGACGCCGACGATCCCAAAGACGATGGGTCCGACGACAACGGTGCGTTGCATCATCAACCGCCAAGTTCTGAGATCCCCAATAGACGGGGCTAACGTTGACGACGATGACGACTTCATGGGCAGTGCGTCGGGGAGCGACGACGACAACGACGACCCGGCCAAGGTATAGCTTTCCCCACAATTGCTGAGCTTACAAGTGCGAACGGCAGGAAGACGAGACGCAGCCCGCTGTCCGCGACGACGGCACGGGCATTGGTGCGCTTCACTTGCCCCACGTGTCGTACGAGCCCTCACCAGCGTCCCGGGACGACCCCGCCGTCCAAAAGCAGCTCCAGGCCGAGGCCGACCGCCGACTGTTCGCGTCAGTCGAAGACGCCAAGAAGAAAGGCCGCGTGTACATTGTGCCTGGCACCAACAGTGACGTGTTGGACGCGGACATGGCCGCCAAGAAGGGTTATGACACGCCGCCGTACTTCGCCGGTCGCGACTGGTGGATTCAAGTACGTGTTTTCCATGTTGTTGGCGATGTGAGAGAGTTGACTAGTCGGGCGGGAAGGAGCTCGAAGAGTACCTCAAGACCAAGCCGTTCGAGACGTACCCGCTCTTCCGCGCCCACACGGTCCTTGGGTCCCTCTTCCGCCGTCGCAAGGAGCGCATCCAGATACAAACGGGCGTCTTCAAAGGCCTCGTCGTCGTGACGCTCGAGTCGACCAAGCAGAGTCTGCTGGTGGATTACACGTCGCTGACAGAGCCCAAGCCATACGAAGTGCGCGTCTACGTCCTCCGCGCGACAAATCTTCAGCCAAAAGACCGGAATGGACTCAGCGATCCGTATTTGCGACTCCAATTGGGTCAAAACAAGGTCAACGACCGCGACCAGCACCAGAAGAAGACGCTCAACCCCGACTTTTACCGTCTTTTCACGGTCGAAGCGACGATCCCAGGTTACTCTCTCTTCTTGTGCGTTGCCAAGTATCGTCGAGTAGGCACATCGCAGCTCTCCATTTCGGTGTGGGACCACGACCGGTTTGGGACTGACGATTTCATTGGCGAGACCATCATCGACCTCGAAGATCGGTGGTTCCACAAACAGTGGCAAGACATTGGCCTGGGCCACCCCAAGGCAAGTTACTCTGGTGTCCCAAAAGCTCATGTGGACGAGGTAGCTCAAAGCCGCGGGAACGCTCAAGCCGATCGAGTACCGACCGCTCTGGACGGGCAAGGAGGCGACGTCGCAGGGCACGCTGCAGCTGTGGGTCGACATTCTCACGCCGTCGCAAGCGGCGATCTACGAGCCGATCGACATTGCGCCGCCGCCACCGAAAAAGTTCGAAGTGCGCGTCGTCATTTGGAAGTCGGAGGGGGTTGTCGACAAGGACGTACGACGCTGTCGTCCTCCACGTCCTGACGCTCTTGTTGATAGCTGAGCGAGACGAACGACTTGTTTGTGAAAGCGTGGATGGAGGGCCACAAGGCGCAGTCGACCGACATTCACTGGCGCTGCTCGACGGGCAAAGCGAGCTGGAACTACCGCATGAAGTTTCAAGTTGAAATGCCCATGAAGCCCGAGTTTGCGCGCCTGCATCTGCAGCTCTGGGAGAAGGACCTCCTCAAGTGGCAAGACATTATCGGTACCTTGCAATTTATAGTCGTTGAGCACGATCTCGTGTTCGTGCAGGCGGTACGGAGCTCGACCTTTACCGCTGGCTCCAGCTCGCGTACCAGGAGAACCGGACGGTCCTGCCGTTCAAAGAAATGAAACATGCAGCGCGCGTCCTGGATGGCGACAGCGATGGCGAGAGCGAGAATGAGAGCGACGACGACAACCAAACCCATCACTACGCCGATCTCGACTTGGAGAAGAACCACGTCACCAAGCCGCTGCTCAACGAGAGAAAGAAGAAATCGCCGTCTCGGTTGGGGAAGCTCCAGACGCTACTGCGGACCAAGGTCAACGCCAAAGCGAGTGGCGACGGCGCCAGTGTCCCAAACGCCCAACAAAAAGCCGACAAGCGCGCGGCCAAGGAAGAGAACGAAGCGAAAGAAGCGATCGGCTCCTTCCTCGTACGTCTCCTTGGAACCAGCGACGACGATACATTGCTCTGTAGGACTTTATCGGGCTCGGGCGGCTCCACGACGACTCCGAGTGGCTCACGATGCGCTTCCACAACCGCGCCGAAGGCAAATCCGAAGAGATGGGCCAAGTTGCTATCGGGATTCAAATCGTGACCGAAGCCGAGTACAGCGCGACGCCGGTCGGGAGCGGCCGGAAGGAGCCCAACATCAATCCGTATTTACCACCGACCGTCGGTCGCATCAAGCTCAGCGCCAACCCCTTCAACGTCCTTCGCGAACTCGTACGTGCGTTTCGACGCTATTTGGCTACCTCCGCTTGCGTAGGTGGGTCCCAAGGCCTGCGCCCGCATTGCTTGCTTTTTGTGCTGCATGGGCTGTCTCAGCTTCATGGCGCTCTTTGGCGCCAGCATCATGAGCGCACTGACGTTCTACGAGCAAATGAAGGTGCGTGCCGAGGCGGCTCATAGCCGGCAGCCATAACAAAACACTTGAGTTTGAACACACGATTGGCGCGTTTTCGTTATGAGAAGACGACTTGAGACGATTAGGATTGAGCAAACAAACTCAAAAAGTCCTATGAAGATACAAAATGACCTTTGCATCGAGACGTGGTGCAACCTACCTTGCCGAGGGACGTGTTGAGCGAGACGTCGGGCGGCCCCGTAAAGTTGAAATCGTCCAGTTGCAAGTCGGATGCGTTCTCGGTCCGGAGCCGCCACGCAGGTGCCTCGTCCGTCTCGGGCACCGCGTCCGGCCTAGACCGTAGTATGAGCTCTCTCGCGCTGCCACGTGTGGGGTACTAGGAGTACATGCTTCGAGGGATCCACTGCGCACTCGGGTGTTGTACAGGCTCAAACGCCTCGTCCTTGGGCGTCCACGGCGTTCCTTGGCTATGGCATGGGTATATATAATACGGTTGTATCGGTCGCTAAGCCCACCTCGCCGACGACCGCGCCTGCCGCCGACGGTCCGGCGTTGTCTAAGCTGACGCATATGATTTCCAACCCCCTTTCAAACGACTACCTTGAAAATCATCGGGTCCTCCGCGCGCGACTGCAGCGTCTTGCGGAGCTCGTCCGTGGTAGCCGTGGTCGCCACCGCGATCACGGCCTGTGCTGCCTGCCGCGGTCGACCGCGTCGCGGGCGTGACGACGACGACGCCTTGCCCTTGCCGTCTTCGTTGGTGACTTCAATGCGAAAAGGTAGCGGGACATTCTCATCGACGGCTTCAAAGCCATCCCGGCGCGGGTCGTGGCTCTGCCGCAGGGCCGAGCGCCGGGACCGAAATCGGTTGATCGTGTCTTCGAGCTAGTGAAGGCCATATCTCAACAACACGATTGGCCAGCCACCGTACACTCTGCTCGTTGATCTCGCACGACGAGGGTACCACGGGGTCCTGCGCCATGGGCTTGTGCCGGGATGGCGGGCGGTGCGAGCGCTTCGTCGCCTTGTACTCGTACTCGTCGTCCAGCTCGTTGTCGTCGACAAGGTGCGTTGGGAACGCGTGGCGCTGGCGCGACGGCGGCCGGTCGAACGCCTAGGATCACTGGCATAGCATGCGCATCCAATCTTGCAAAGGCTACTTCGTCCGTGTCGTCGGCCGGTGACGTCTGGCGGGAGCTGCCCGCCGAGAGGTTGCGCTGGTTGCTAGCACACTCCTTCGGCACGTACTTGTACTGGCTCGTTGCGTCAATCTCGTAGTCGTACACGTTGTCCAAGTCGGGCATCTCGTTGTTGTCCTTCTGGAACGAGCTCGCGTGAAATGGAAACGACGCGAGGATGTTGGTGGAGCTGCTGCTGTGGTCGCCCCAATGGAACGAGCGCGCGCGCGCCTTGGTCGCGCTCACCTTACCGGCGCTGGCCTTGGGCTCGGTGCGCGTTGGCGCCCGGTACTTGGCCTCGACGCTGGCCCGCTCGACCCGATGATCGTCGTCGCCGGGGCTCTCGGTGCGTCGCTCGTGGAGGTACTTTTGCGGCCGCGACCGCGGCTTCTGCCGGCGCTTCTCGGCGAAGAGGAAGGAGGACGCGGCGAGCGGCTCGGCGTCGCACATGCTGTCCATGCTGCTCTGTCGGTTGCAACTAATTTAAGCTCGCGTGTGCCGCGATGTGATTGGCCACGCTGTCGCCAATCGAATCGCAGCATTGTTGTCAGTGCAACAAATAGACACTTGACAAGCATCATGGAGCGCATCCAACTGTTCCTCTCGATCGTGCTGGACGGCGCCGAGGTCAAGAAGCTCCTCGTCGCGCTCGGACTGCCACGTGGAAGCTGGTACCGGCTGCAATCGATCGACCATCTTGTTGACAAGACGACGCATGTGCTGCTGTCGGCCAACCCCGAGGCGAGCCGGTTCCTCTGCACCCGCTACCAGTACGTCTTCATTCTTGTCGACGATGTAGTCTTTACCCAAGACGTAGGAAAGGGGTCAAGCGCATCGTTGCCAGTCGCATTGTGGTCCTTCGCGCGCAAAAGTACGTGGCACTGCCAGCGACATGCGTTCCACGGGCTACGAACGACAGCTACCTCGATCGCCGTCTCGACACCCGGATTGTCCTCCATTTGCATGACACGCTGTATGTAGTCGACCCGTTTGACGACTGTTCTACGCACCCCGCTAGTCAGCGTACGTCCTGCGAACCGCGCGAGAATGTATGAATCATAGTATTGGTGGTCACAGGCAACAACGACGACGAAGCGCGACTCGACGAGCTGGTAAGCACATCTTTGATTGTTGAATCGAGTGCGACGGAACTGTGCAAGAGCGACGCGACACCAACGATTCCGCTGGCCTACGTTGTGGAGCTTCTCGACATCCTCGGCGACGAGGTGGCTTCCGTGCGCGCCTTGTTTGAGACGCACGCCGTGCACCAGCGCGTGAGTGTCGAAGGCATGACCGACATCCTTGCCTCCGCCGGGTACGACCCAGCCAACTGCAACTCGATTCGTGTGACGCGGCGGTTAGTGCCCACGTGACGCTGGATGGGGTGCTGCGACTGATCTCAGACATGGTCCAGAGCCGCACGGTGGCGCTGACATCACCACCGTTCGACTTGAAAGCCCACGTGCTTGGCTACACGGACGTGCTCTCGGTCTACGTCGTCTTTCATCGTCAGTACAATCGGTGACGCATCATGTGTTTTTACGGGCGGTTGTATGCGCAGTTCGCACCTTGGCTTGCGTCGGTAGGACCATGGAGGCCACTGCGCGACGAGGAAGGTTGCGACTTGCCACGGCCTGTGCAAACAGAGCACTGGCTGTGGCTCATAGAAGCGCATGACTCAACAGCCACAAGAGCTCGCCGCAAAGTACCGGTAGATGATTTGGGTCATTGCGCATCCGCCATCAGCTGGTTTCGCCGGTTGATCAGGCTACTCGTGTCGTTCTCGACGATTGTCGCCGCCACACCAGTCAGCGATAATCGATTAGCGTCCTTCAATGTCGCTACCACCGCAATAGAAACCGTTAAATTTGCACTTTGGATTCACAAATTATGCTTTTTCGGGAGCGAAATATCGTGTTGCATCCAACCTGATGCCACGGGGAGGGTGAAACGCGCAACGAAACGGTCTTGTCCGGATATTGCGGGGATAAGAAATCCGGTTGCTGGGCCAATGCGTGTCAAGTGCAGTTCTGATTGAGCATTCGACGATGCGCCTGTTGCTGGCCCGTCGCCTCTGCGCTGGCCGCCCGCCTGTCCGGAGCTTCCACGCGTCCAAGGCGACAGCCGATGCGGTCCTCATGGAAGACGAGTACGGCGTCATGGAGGCGAGCAAGCAAGTCTTCCACATGCCGGCCTACACGCTCGAGAGCGGCGAGACACTTCGCGACGTGACTGTCAACTACAAGACGTTTGGCGAGCTCAACGCCGCACGCGACAACGTGCTTGTCGTGTGCCACGCGCTCACGGGCAACGCGGCGCTCGACACGTGGTGGGGCAGCCTCCTCGGCGACGGCAAGCCCTTTGACACGGCCAAGTACCACGTCGTCTGTGCCAATTTTCTCGGCTCGTGCTACGGCACGACCGGCCCGACGTCCATCAACCCCTCGACGCAGCACCCGTACGGCGCGTCCTTTCCGCTCACGACGATCCGCGACAGCGTCGGGCTGCACCTGCGCCTGGTTCGCGACGAGATTGGCGCCAACCAGGTCACCCTGCGTACCTTGCTCCTTGGCTGAAGCTCACGCGCCCTCGTAGATTGCCGCTGTCATTGGCGGGTCGCTCGGCGGCATGCAGGCCCTCGAGTGGGGCTTCCTCGGGAAAGGTCTCGTCCAGCGCCTTGGCGTCATTGCGTGCGGCGCCCGCCACACGGCGTGGCAGATTGGCATGAGCGAAGTCCAGCGCCAAGCCATCTACCGGGTACACCGTCCCTTGCTTCATAAGATTTGAGGCTCAATCGATGGTGGTTGTAGGACCCGTTGTACTGTCGTGGGCACTACGACCCGTCGCGACCCCCGAAAGACGGTCTCGCGATCGCTCGCCAAATGGCCATGCTCACGTATCGCACGCACAGCGTGTACGCCGAGCGCTATGGCCGCGAGACGCAGCCCGACGGCCGCTTCGCCGTGCAGTCGTATCTCGACTACCAAGGCGACAAGTTTCTCTCGCGCTTCGACGCCAACGCGTACGTGGCCGTCACCAACTCGATGGACACACACGACGTCGGACGCGGCCGCGGTGGCGTCGAGGCTGCGCTCAAGACGCTAAGCGACCTTCCCGTTTCGATCGTCGGCATCGACTCGGACCTCTTGTACCCGATCTCCGAGCAGATCGAGCTCCACGAATGCATCCCCAACTCGACACTGCATGTGGTGTCGTCGCCGCACGGCCACGACGGCTTTCTCCTCGAGCAGGACGCTGTAGCCTCCGCCGTGCGTGGGCTCTTGGCCCAGTAGTGAGCCACATCAACTGGGCGACGGCGCCGACTACCCAGCGTTCAGTCGCTGGCTTCTCGCCGCCTCGAACAAGTAGTAAACTCTTCGTCATACATTCTCCATTCCGTCTTGTCCATGTATTTTGTCGAGTCATAACTTTCAAGGTATCAAGTAGTGCAGATATTACGTCACGACAGGGCATCGTCCTCGTGGAGGCAGTCGCTTACGCGAGCCGATGATCCTCGCTGAGTACATGGACAGCCTCGAGGACACCTATCGCAAGCTCGGGCGACTGCGCATGCAGCGCGTGCCATGCGTCGGTGCTCAGATGCAGCACCGTGCACGTAGCCGACGCGACAAACGGCGACCGCATCCGCGTGCCGTCGAGGACGGTGCCGGCGCCGACAGAGACGTCGCCGATCGCCCCGTTGCCAGCGCAGAGAAACCACCAGCGGCCAAGACCGGGAGCAAAAGGACTGCCCTTGGTGAGGAGCCGGAGCTCCAGAAAATCAATTGCGCGCTCGAGGCGGTAGGCGTCGACGAGCCGGCCCATGACGTCAACCTCGCGCGTCAGAAGGAGCTTGAGCCAGAGCGACCGTTTGGCCGCGACGTCGCCAGAGCTCTTGTGCGACATGGGCGTCGGGAAGAGCGGAGCGAGCGCTTCCGGCATGCGGTTGAGCTGGATGCGCAGATCGCGCCGGGCTGCAAACGCTTCGACTTGGCGAAACGAGCGCAAGAACGAATTGTCGACCGCGAGCACATGTTCAAAGTCGAGGTGCAAGACGCTGAAATGGTGGGTGCGCCACAGCTTCTCGATCTTGTGCACGAGGTACTTGGAAGTCGCAAAGCAGAGGTACCCCTGGAGGTGGATCGCAAACCCGTTCGGTGATGCAAAGTGGTACGAGCGCACGCAACCGACCGCGTTGAGCTGGAAGACAAGGTGGATGCTCGAGAGCACGAGGCCGACGCCGACGCTCTGAAGCGTCCCGACCGATAGAAACGTGAGGAAGACCGCAAGGACGACGCCGCCTTCCATGCCGGGCAGCGACCGCAGAGGCGTCACGAGGTACTTGAGTAAAAAATGAACGCCAATGTGGAGCAAGAGCCCGCCAAACACAAACTTTGGCACATAGACGAGCGACCCGAGCCCGACGACCCACAACAAGAGCAAGAGACCTGCGCAGAGCAGCACGGGGATCCGCGGGTGCGCTTTGAATGTGCCGAGGAGGCCCATGGCCGAGATGTAGTGGCAGCCGCCCGTGCAGCCAAGCACGCCGCTCACAATGTTGGCACCACCAATCGCCTTCATTTCGGCATCCACTGGCACGTCCCGATCGAAGAGGAACGAGAGCGACCGGACGAGCACCGAGTACTTGAGCGCACCGAGGAGTAGCAGTGTCGGGAGGCCGCGGCCGAGGGCGTGGAAGAGCACGCCCCACTGCACCAACTCCCACTCGATGGTCGTCCACGAATACCAGCGCGGTGTCTCGGCGAGCATGGTCGGTGTCCAGTCAAAGATCATGGCGCTCGTCTCGTAGCCGCCAATGAATGCGACGAGGTGGAAGCCAAGGACCGACCCGACAAGCAGCAATGGCAGGTAGATCGTCGGTGGTACGTGAAGATGGTCGGCGCTGTGCGACGCGGTGGCAAAGAGGAGCGCGGGGAGCACGAGGAGGATGCAATCGCGCGTCATTGACATACTCTCTTGAGCTGCCATGTGCATGCCGTCCTTGACCAAGACACCGCCAATGCCCGAGAGAAAGCCCGTGATGACTGGATCGAGGCCATGAGCTAGATGGACGAGAAAGCATAGGATGATGTACCTGGGAACGGAATGTAGTGCGTGAGCGACGAGAGGCGGAGCAGCCCGACCGCGCATACGCAGAGCCCGACCGTGATGGATGCGACCGCGATGGCCACAAAGAGCGTTGGCAGCACCGTCGTCATGTCGTTGTCCAGGGCCTTCGTAATGTGCTGCGCCATTTCGCCGAGGACGGGCACGCTATGCGCTCAGTCATATTCCTGTTGATAGAAGAGGGATGTACGTACACAGAGACGTCGATCGCGGCCATGGCCCATGGCGCTTGGCTTTTCCAGCTCATGTACAGACACATGAGGCACGTGCCGAGGAGGTTCATGTCGATGACCTTGGCCAAGTGCATGCTCAATGGTCCGTCGTGGCCGACAACGACGCTGGCGCACGAGACAGCGATCGTCGACGAGAGGAGGAAGACGACGACGCCGGCGAGGACGTTGAGGCCGACTTCGCGCATGCGCTTCTCAGTGACCGGCGTCGCGGCCGTCGGCGACAGCGTCCCGTACGACGGCGAGTCCGGGTCGATCTGCACGACGAGCGGCTCGGCCTTGGCGACGAGCGCCTGCAGGGATGGCCGGCGCACGAGTGGCGTCGTTGACTCGAGGTCCATCGCCAAAGATATTTAATGAGCAGCTGGGTGCAGTGTGAAACCTCCGGCGACGATGTAAGCGAATTGCACCTCAACATCTGCTTTCCGCTCATATCATTGGCGCATAGGACGGCGCATGCGGCGAAATCGCGACGTAATTCGCACCGCCAAGTACCTTACACGTTGAAGTTCAAGGCAAACGCGACATGTAGCTTTGGCGATGGCCGAAGAATAGCGGTGGCGCCAGGACAAGTATAAAGCTTAGCTACTAACGTCGTCCGAGGTTCGATCACGCCGTGGGTTCTCTGCAGATGCGGCGTCTTCGGACTGGACCGGATGCCCCAAAATGGCAGTGCTAGTATCCTACAAGATGGCGATCGCGTCGTGCGTGATCGTAAGTGTGCTGCGTCGGCCGGGCAGGAGCGTGTTGGGCTTGATCGCGTCCGACTTGCGGTAGTGGTGGTACACGGCCGCGACAAGTGCGAGCACGGCGACGACGCTGAGGACGCTGACGGTGATGCTGGTTGTCGGCGACGACGCCGAGCCCGATGCAGTTTCAGCCACGTGGGTGCCGGATGTGGCATCGTCCTCACGCTTGTCGATGGCTACCGGCGTCGGTGCCGGCGTCGGTGCTGGCGTCACCACGACTGTAGCATTACTGTCGGTGTTGTTGCCATCGTCTGACACAAAGTGTCCTTTCTCCGGGACAAAAGTGTCATTGCTCGTCGACAACGCCGGCTTGGTCGTGGTCGTAGTGGGGGCGACCGTGGTCGGTGCCGGCGTTTTCGTTGTCGGTGCCGGTGTCGGAGCCGGTGTTGGTGCCGATGTCGGTGCGGGCGTTGGTGCGGGCGTTGGTGCGGGCGTTGGGGCCGGCGTCGGCGGTGTAAACTTCCAGCTAACACCGTCGACCGACAAGCCAAAGTGCGCTTCAAAGCCTTGTTTCGCTGTGACGTCTTGGAATTGAAAGTAGAACGGACAGTCGGCGCCCGACGTCGCCGTCCACGACATGTAGCTGTTGTAGTAGTTTTGGGCGGTCGCAAAGCTAATGACGGGCGTGCCGTACGAGACACCGGACGTTGGCCACCCCGTCTCGGTGAGCTTGACTCTGTTCTTCCCGTACGCTGCCACGACCGCGTTGTAGCGCGTCGATAGGTCCTGGATCGGGAAGAGCACCGCAAGCGGCGACGACCCAAAGAACGGGTAGATGTTGACGCCGACAACATCACAAACCGCCGCGAGCTCCGGGTTGTTCAGAAAGTCACCGTCCGTCTGCACCGACCCGACGGGGACGGACGTGATGCCGTTCGCGACAAGCGCGCCGCGCACCGCCTGGACTTCGGCAATCACTTGGCTGGCGCTCCAGCCATGCATAAGCTCTTCGTTGCCGACGTAGACGGCGAGGACCGTGTCGGGGTGGGCCTTGATGCCGGCGACAAGTGCTGCCACGTCGTCGACATAAATGGATGGATCTCGGATCCAAACGCCAGCGGCCACCTTGAGGTTGGCGGCGGCGGCTTCTGCAATGAGGTTCAAGCCGCCGACGTTCGTTTGGTAGGTGCGGACCGCGTCAAACTTGGTGCGGATCACGCGAAAGTCGGACGCGACCTGCGAGGTTGCCAGGTACGAGTCGTAGCAAATGCCTGTCAAGCCCACCGCGCGCGCCACGACGCACGCGAAGAGAAGCGGCCGCAACATGCTCTTTCAAAATCGAATCTGGCCTTTCTGGGTGGCAGCGATTATATATAGGAGTGGGCTATGAATAGGCAACCGAACGCGATCACAGCAATGGCGCGCATCAGAGGCGTAAGCTCCCGCGCCGTTTGAGCCTTGTCCGTGGGCTGTACACTTGGTACACGGTACCTTCTCGACTTCAAGTGGGTCCACGCATCGTAACGAACGGTTGAAGTTGACGTTCATTTTCTATGCTTGCGACCTTGATGTGGCTGTTGATGTAGTATCTTGGTGGTGGCAAGGCTGAAGAAAAGGAGATGGTGGCACGCTTGGTTGACGGAGAAGGTCGGATCGCGAACTCCCAGGCGCCTTGGCGGTATGATGACTTGTTATGTGGGATCCGTGCCCTAACGGCACGGGTAACCTAGCCGAGTGCCCCTGGCCAGCGCTGGGGCCTTGGTTTGGGTGGCCAGAGTCCCGAGAGTCCGTCTCTGCAGAAGAAGTGGAGGTGTGCTGGGGAATCTTGAGATAATCCCAGTGGGCTGGTTGACACCGAAGACAGCAGCCCCAAAGCGATCTTCGCGCTGTTCAGATTGCCATTGTGGTCAACGCGCCGTACCAGCCTTGTAATCTTGTAGAAACCATGACTGAATCTGGCATCTACTAGTATTGCCCCTGGGTATTGCCAAGGCTCGTGCTGGTGCGGCAAGGTGGGCTGGGAGATCGGCGACGGGTGCAAAACCTCTCATATTCTATTTTCCATCGAAAATATCGTGTTTTACGGGTCGGCTAGTTTTCTTTCTGAAGGTTTGCGATGATGGAGCCGGCGCCCGACGTCAAGGCCGCGGCCGCGGCCATGAACGACCGCTCGCATGGCCTTCACTTTGGTACGACGGAAACATCTTGCGAAGAAGCCTTGGCTCATGGGCCTGCGGTAGATGTCACGGTCGGCGACGACGACCTCGAGGATGGCACCATGTCCCCGAAAGGTAGACGGCAGCCATGTCTCCATGGCTCAGGATGCGTGCTTATAGCCAAAGACACGCTGCTTCACGGCAACGGCAAGGACGGCCGCCCGGCGCTCGGCCTCTGTGGCTGCTTCACGCTTGGCTTCTACCAACCCGTACGTCATCTCGATCTACGCTCGTCTCACACGCAGGATGATGCTAGTACTTTAACGTCGACACGATCGACATTCAAGTGCGCTTGACGCGTGCGCTGATCCCGTTCAAGAAGGACCCGTCCTTCAAGGACCTCGCGCTCGCCAACCCGGACGCGTACGGCCCGTTCTGGCTCTCGGCGACGTTGATCTTTTGCATGGCGAGCTGCTCCAACATTGCGTCGTGGCTCGATTACGAGGGCGACGACCCGAGCAAGTGGTCGTACGACTTTAGCTATGTGGCAACGTCGATGACGATGGTGGGTATCTACCTCCTCGGCCTCCCGCTGGCGCTCTGGTCGGTCGGCAAGTACATCTCGGTGCCCCTCCCGCTCTCGTTCCTCGTCTGCCTCTACGGCTACTCGCTCAGCATCTTCATCCCGACCATGGTATCCTTCGTCTCGATGCGTTGTCTAGTCTCATAGTAGCCTCTCTAGTTTGTGTGCACAGCGCCCTCGGACGCTGCCGACTGGGTCATGATGCTCTTTGCGATGGCATGGTCGCTCCTCTTCCTCCTCACCAACATGTGGGGCTACATTGTCGAGTACTTGCCCAAGGAGAAGCTCCTCCCACTGCTTTCCTTCATCGGGTACGCCGCCATCCTCATGCATCCATCATTCCATGTTCGTTCTTCTAGGACGACGCATTTGGTCTGGGTCGTCTTGCTCAAGCTTCTCTTCTTTTAAATACATTGCGCCTCGGATTACACCACGGCCGGTGTTTCTACGGCGCCATCGACGCGCAGCTCGAACTGCCCATACTGGTTGCTCTCTTCCGCGGCCATGACGTCGGAGAGAATGTCGTCTTCGAGGGTTGTTTCGGCCAGCATGCTCTGGTGTTCTACGCCATCATCATGAGCAGGCATGTCGTCGGGATGCAATGGTACCTTCTTCGTCGAGGTCGTCAAAGTCGATGCCGGATGGCTCGTGCTTGGGCAAGATCTCCTTGCGATTCCTAGCGCCATGGACGTGAGCACCGGACGGGTTGGAAGCATGACAGACTTGAGAAAGACGGCGAGGCGGGCGTACTGCACCGTGTTGCGGAGGAGCACGACAAAGTCGGCGGCGACTTCTTCGAGCTCTTCGACGACCGACTCTTGTCGAAAGTAGAGCGCGATCGAGACGAGGCTCAGCACTAATTCCATCGCCTCGTCAGCCCGCCTGGCATCGCGCGCGACGACCTACCCGTGGCGACGACGTCAAAGAGGTTAGTCCACTTGAGCCAGTACTTCTACACACGCCACTCTGCATAAGGCCATCATGCCATACGCGGCGACGTACGCGCTTGAGGGCGAGCATGCGGATGAGCACTTCGAGCGTGAGCATGCAGCAGAGCGTGATCTCGAGCGAGATGAAGAGGCTCGAGGCCGGCGAGTGCCAGTGGTTGGCGATGGTCCAGCCGACGCAGGCCATGCTGGTCGCGATCATGGCCAGGTAGACGACGCGGTAGAAGGCCGAGAAGTACAGGCGGCTCGCGACCACATTGGCGTACTCGGAGCAGGACACGCGATGCGCCATGCCAGTCCTGGAATAGAATGAAGGCTTTGAAATCAGGTATTTTATTTAAATAATTATTTGGCCGACGGGCCACAGGGTTACACACGCAGACGGAACTGGGCGTGCATTTTCTGATCAAATAAAAAGATGCGGGATGGCCTAATTAGGATATGCTAGACGAAACTAGGACACCAACCTGCAGCTCGTCGAGCTTGACCATGGTAGCTTGGCGCGATGAGGCCATGCAAGGAGGACGCAGGTCGCTCGGCCGAGGCTAATGGTATTTGAACTGGGAGCCTGCGATAGCCAGCGGCAACGTGACGTCATCGCGTGGCGACATTCGAGAGCCAATCAGAAATCGAGCGGCTGCCGGCAAGATGGCGCAGCCGTGGAAGGACGCGCTCTTGGTGTACGTGGCGGCGCCTGCGGAGCATGCCGACGTCGTCTTCTACGACGAGACTGTCGTCGTTGTCAAGGACAAGTACCCCAAGGTACGCTTGCTTCAGCGCGTCGTGGCTAAGCCTGGCTGCCACAGGCTAAGCTGCATCTGCTGGTCCTGCCCCGGCAGCCCATGCCATTTGGCGTCGAAGGATTGACGCGAGCGCACATTGGCCTCTTGCAGCACATGGAAGGACTCGTATCTTCCTTCAGCGACGGCGCCGACGTGCGCGTCGGGTTCCACGGCGTCCCGTCCATGCGGCAGCTGCATCTGCACGTGATTTCGACCGACTTGATCTCGCCGTCGCTCAAGAAGAAGGAACACTGGAACTCGTTCACGACGTCCTTCTTCAAGCCGCTGGCAGAAGTGCTCGTGGCGCTTGAGGCGGACGGTCGCGTGCCCATTGACGTCGCGACCGAGCACGCCAAGCTCAAGACGCCGTTGTTGTGCCACAAGTGCAGTGGTACCTTTCGCCAGCTCCCGCAGCTCAAAAAGCACCTCGAAACAACGCACCCAAGCGATTCGCTCGCGCTTAGCTCGACGAAGCGGGCGGCGAGCGGCGCACCGCCGTCGCCGCCACCGAAACGAGCCAAGGATGCTACAGCGTAATCCCGTCGGCCTCGACCGGCGAACGCAAAATCGGATTTGCCGACTTGATATTATTCGCGGCGAATTGATACTAGCTCGTTGGCGTGTGTCAAGCTGTGCCGGAAGAGGTCGTCGTGCGGCGACCCACAAAGGAGCTGCTGGAGCTACACTGTGTCCGCGATGACTTTACACTGGCCGGCGCATCGGCTTCTGGCTCGTCGTCGCCTGCAATCGTTGATAGTCCTGCAAGTGCTGTTGATTGGCGAACTTGGGCTCCATCTCTGGAGGCAGCAGTGTTATGTGCTGAAGAAGAAATCGGCTACTGAAAATATCGTCGAACGATCGCGATACGCGAGGAAAATGTCCTTTTGGGTTCGACTAAGATCTCTTTCACTTTGATTCGACTCTTAGTTTTCCCAAACCTTTCAACCTCGATTTCTCGGGCTCTACGCCTCCAACGATGGCGTGGCGTAGCATTTCGTACTCCCCAAAGTGTCTTCTATCACTGTGCCAAGAATGAGCGATTCCATTTTCAAGTCGACTTTCGGTCGCCAAGTCCGCTGGGATCGGCGGCGCCATGCCAGAATTGTTCAAGATATTTGATTGGCTAAAACAACTCCATTTAATGTGGATACACCCAATCCAAAAATCGCATTTAATACGATTTTAGCCAATCCTAGTCGATGCAAGCCAGCCACCGCCCGTGTCGCCGATCCCAGCGGACTTGGCGACCGAAAGTCGACTTGAAAATGGAATCGCTCATTCTTGGCACAGTGATAGAAGACACTTTGGGGAGTACGAAATGCTACGCCACGCCATCGTTGGAGGCGTAGAGCCCGAGAAATCGAGGTTGAAAGGTTTGGGAAAACTAAGAGTCGAATCAAAGTGAGAGAGATCTTAGTCGAACCCAAAAGGACATTTTCCTCTCGTATCGCGATCGTTCGACGATATTTTCAGTAGCCGATTTCTTCTTCAGCACATAACACTGCTGCCTCCAGAGATGGAGCCCAAGTTCGCCAATCAGCAGCACTTGCAGGACTATCAACGATTGCAGGCGACGACGAGCCAGAAGCCGATGCGCCGGCCAGTGTAAAGTCATCGCGGACACTGTTCTCTAAAGAATGCGTTTGCACCTGGACGATGCTGTTGTAGCCCATTGATTATGCGAAAGATCGCGGACGGCCTCTGCTGCTAGCGTCACAGCACGGCCATCATCGCAAGGGTGGTCAAGTCGCATCAGCAAACGCAAATGGCGACGTACACCACGGTATATTGTCTGTATAGATAGTTACTTCTTGTGCATCGTGGCCAAGAACTCGAGCGCGTCCTTGCGTTCCTGCTCCTGGCGGGCCTTGGACCAGCCGCAGAGCGAGCTCATCATGCCAATGACCTTCTCCATGACCTCGAGCGACGCGTCCGTGTCGATGTAGGCCATGCGCGTGCGGCGCGCAAGCACGTCGACGGCCTTCATCGCGTACTCTTGGCGCACGGCAAAGACGACCTCCGACTCCAAGTACGGGTACTTGGGGTGGAGGCGCTTCGGGTGGTCGCCGGCCTTGCGGTGGAGGAACCCGCTCTTCTCAATCTCGGCGATCTGGAGCGCGCGCGTGCCGTAGTTGCGCATCAAGTGCTCGGCAATGTCCTTGTCCATGAGGTACTTTTCACGGAGCGTGACCGTGATCCGGTCAAACTTTTGGCTGCAGACCTCGCCGATGCGGTCGGCGCCAATGAGCTGCATGTCGCGCGTCTTGCACACGGCGTTGGGCACGTCAGCGATGATCTCCTGGAGCTTGTCGATCGTGTCCTGGGCCATGCGGCGGTACGTGGTCCACTTGCCGCCGGCGATCGTGAGCATGTTGGACGTCGAGACCTCGAGCACGTGTTCGCGCGAGATCTGCGCCGTGTTCTTATGGCGCGGGTCCTTGACCAGCGGGCGGATACCGCTCCACGCCGACCGCACGTCGGCGTTGGTGACAGGCACGGCCAGGTACCGGTTGGCCTCTTCGATGATAAAGTTGATTTCTTGCTGCGTCGGCGTTGGAAGCATCGTAATGTCCGACTCCGAGTCGGTCGTACCGGCGATCGTGGCGTTCTCCCACGGCAGGAAAAACTAAACACACCGAGAACATGAGCCAAGCGACGTGGCGGATGGAAGCGGGTACCAAGACACGACCGTCCGACGTCTTGGGCACGATGAGGCCCATGCGGTTGGGGCTGTAGTGGTCCGGAAGCACGACGTGGACGCCGGCTGCCGGCACGCAGATGTTTTGCGCCTCCGGGTTGTCCATCTTGCGGATCGCGTCCGTGAACGGTCCGGTCGCGTTGACGACCGCCTTGCACGCAATGTCCCACGTCTTGCCCGTCATGACGTCCTTGACCGAGACGCCGGCGACCTTGCCGTCCGCGTTCTTCTTGATGGACTGGACTTCAATGTAGTTGCCGACCGTCGCGCCGTTCTGCGCGGCCGTCAAGACGACCGAGAGGTTCATGCGCGTGTCGTTCATCTGGCCGTCGTAGTAGACGATCGCGCCCTTGAGACCGTCCTTCTTGAGGTTCGGGTACTGGTAAATAGCCTCTTCCGCGTCAATGTAGTAGCTGCCCGGCACGAAGCGCTGCGTGCCAGCGACGAGGTCGTATGCCTTGGCGCCCACCCACATGTACGGGATCTCCCACCACGTGTAGATCGGGATCATGATCGGGAGCGGGCGGTTCATGTACGGCGCGGCCGAGAGCATGTGCTTGCGCTCTTCCAAGGCTTCCGTGACCTACGATCCATCGACGCATGAGATAAACCATGTGTCACAGCTGTCAATGGCATACCAAGTCGAAGGCCGCCTTGTCGAGCTTCATAAAAGCCGTCTCGAGGTAGCGAATGCCACCGTGGATGAGCTTAGTCGAGCGACCCGACGTGCCAGCGCCAAAGTCGTTGCGCTCGAGGAGCGCGACCTTCATGCCACGCGTCGCCGCATCCAAGGCGCAGCCGGCGCCGGTCGCGCCGCCGCCAATGACAACCACATCAAAGGCTTCGTTCTCGAGCTTGGCGAGCTGCGTCGCGCGCTCCGGCACCTCCCATGGCACGATGACCGCGCCGTCGTCGCACTCGATGGGCGAGACGAACTTGTAGACACCGTTCTTGTCCTTGTTGTGCGTGTTGGGGTGGTGGATGCCCGAGTTGAGGCGCGCCGAGGTGGCGAAGGCGCCGGCAGCACCGAGGCCGGCGGCGGCGACGGCGCCGCGGCGCATGGGCGTGGCCAAGCGGAACATGGGGATGGCAGACGAGGGGAAAATTCTCTAATGGCCACTGCCACTTCAAGGTCGATTAACCGGACATATCTCCGGATACGCAGGTGTTTCGTCATCCGCATAAAAAAGCAGCGCGCGCTTATTGGCTAAAAAGCGGTGGATTTTTCTCACTGGATACTGCTGCGTTGGCCTTTCTGCCTGCAGCAAGGAAGCTCCATGGACGGCGCCGACGATGATGATGGCGGCAAAGACGATGCGGTCGTGCAACGAGGATGACGAGCAGTGTAGGCAGTAGTAGCGTTGGCTCTTATGGAGTTGGGAAGCGGAGGAAGGGCGAAGAGACGAGAAGGAAATGCGCGGGACAGCACGCATCTGCCACGCGTATCGCAAGCTGATGAAATGGATCAACAGGCGAGAAAGCATGTGACATAGAGCAATCACTTGTTCGAGGCGGGCCGGCCCACGCGCCACAGGACTGTCGACGCGCGCTTCATTCCGTCCACCCCTCTGTGCATCGCCGGGCGAAGTGGGTGCTACAACCTCTCTCGCCCGACGACAGACGCCTCGAAGCCAGCTTGAATGGCCTACGCGGTGCCGCTGGCCATTTGCTGCAGCCCTCGGAAGAAGGATGATCCAACGGATCTTTGAGCGCTATGTACAGACCATGGCGTTGGGTGGTCGGGGCAGGCGATCTGGTCTGGTCTCCTGCGTGTAGAAGTCGTCTCCTCGAACCGGCCCATCGACGTCGTGGCGCATCCTTCTGTCAACGCGTCGGCTGGTGTACTTCAACTTGGGCATCAACGGCAAATGAAATGCCTCCTTGCTCGGTCCAAATCGACCACGTAGTGTAGAAGGACGATGGATTATTACTTGTGTTCGGGCTTGACGTATTCACAGCGGTAGCAGACGCACTTGCCGTTCACGGCCGGGCAGCTCATGGCGCGACTGTGGTTGGTGTACCGGCGGTGTGCATGGCAAAACTCGCGGTCGCACTTGGAGCAAAAGTGCAAAATGAGCGCGTCGAGAAACTCCATGGCCGCAGTCTTGGGCATCGTCGGGTCGGCGCAGAGGTAGCACTGGTTGCGGAGCACGCTCGAGCGCTTCTTGTCGAGCGTCGCGGGCGCCGTGCGCACGGGGAGGCTCACCATGTACGTCGACTGCGACGAGCGCGACTTGAGCCCAAACGCGTTCGTGGCCTCGACGACAAACTTGTAGGTTTCGCCATACCGCAGCGGCGAGAGGCGGCACACGGTCGGCAGCGGCAGCGACGTCATCTTGAGGTACTGGTGGTTGTCCTTCTCGTCCGTGTACCGGACGCAGTAGCACACAATCGGGACGCCGTTCTCGACCGGCTTTTCCCACGACACGCGGACGCGGGCTTCGGTCAGCGACGGGTTCGCCGGGTCTTCGTGCTCGACCTCGACGACGACGCGCGTCGGCGAGAGAGGCGGGAGCCGGCGGAAGACGCGCAGAAGAAAGTTGACGTCGCCATAAATGTACGCGCGCATCGGGAAGAAGATGAGCGCGCCCATGAGGAGCACCTCGTCGAGCCACCAGAGGTAGGCCTTGAGAAGGCCAAAGAACGATACATCGTCGTCGCTAACGACGTCCTGGGGCTCCACCGGCGAGACGCCACGAGTCAAGGGCATCGCCGACGGCACCGCGGGGCACTCGAGCTCGACACGCAGGCTGCGGCCAAAGGCGTTCCACGCTGTGATGCGAAAGTCGTCGTATTCGGTCGCCGTCTCGCTGTAGCTCGTCTGCTTGCCGAAAAATACTGTCTCCCACACGTTGTTGCGCTGGACTTGGACCTGGTACGACGGCGACGGGCGCTCGTCGATGGCCTTCCACGACAGCTTGTACTTGGGCGCGCGGGACGGCTTTTGGCTCACCCGGCACGACGGCTCCTGCGCCGTGAGCGGTACTAGACACGGCGCGTGTGAGACGACGATGTGAAGAGGAATGATGCGCACCTTTCCCAACGCCTGCGATCTTGCGCTTCATCATGAGCGCAAGCTGGTGTCGGTGCAAGCTGGACGAGACACCGAGGTCCTTGAGCCGCTCGCCGTTCTTGTCCATGAGCAGCGGAAAGGTGTAGCCCGACACAAAGTGCTTGCGAAAGTTGTCGTAGTACTGCGGCAGCTGGACCGAGTAGGAGACCCAGTCGGCCACCTCTTCAACGGTCATCTCGGACCCAAGCTCGTCCCAGCGCGACTCGAGCTCCGCAACCGAGATGTACGAGTCGGCGTTGGCATCGAGCTGGTTGAACTCGCGCGAAACATGCTCGACCTCAAGCACCTATCGCTCTTGCATGAGGCATTGCGTCGTCATGGTGATGCATGCCTACCGTGCGCATTTCGTCCTTCTCGAGGCGACCGCTGTTGTCGACGTCAAAGGCGTGCTGCAGCTTCGCCCGCAGGTCCGAGAGCTCGTCCGTGCCCATGATGCCATCCTGGTCAATGTCTTCCATGGCATGCTGCTGCTCGTCGGCGGCGCCGAGCGCTGCGAGCGCCAAGACGACGCCTGCAAGGAGGCTGCTGGATCGCATGGGTTTGTGGTCCAATTGCGAGCTCCGAGGCCAATCTGAAACAGTCTGGAAGGGGAAAGGTCCTTGTCTCGTTTCCAATACAATGCAGTCACATACAAATCGCGAGTGTATTTTAATACCATCGCGCAAATGGCATGGCGGACGCGGATTGGGCGAGAGGCTTTGGATTGCAGCCAATCACATGCCTTGACGCGTTGACATTTCGCCAAAAAGTCGCGAAACCTCAAATTTGTTGACACGCGCGTCAACGAAACGAGCCAACGTGTACCCACGATCCCCGCCAGCCAGCCTCGCCAGCTTCAAACGGTCCGTATACGAGCCTCGCACGGAACGACTAGACTCGACTAGTCTCAACTGATAGTAGGGCGCTAGTAGAGCGACGAACAGCGCGGATGGCAACGTAGTTGTTCAACGTGGCAGCCACGCTCGGCGGTTAGAAATGGCCTCCTTCGTGTCCTTGCTGCCATCCAGTTTGCTGATGCTAGTAGGGATTCTATTGCGAACAAATGTTAAATTAAAACACGGACGACTCCGTGTGCCTCGACTGCTTGAAGCTGTGCTTCTTCTGTATCAAGTGGGGCACTTCGTCGTACGGCGATCGGAACGGCGACGGTTCGACCGGTCGCTTCTCCGACTCGTGGATGTGTCGAAACGCGGTCTTGGTCGGTGGCGGCGACGCCGGTCGAATGTTCTTGCTCGTGCCATTGCCCAAAGCGCTCGGGGGCGTCTTGGCGCGCAGCTGCGGCAGCTCGGCGGCGCTCTGGCTCCGCGGCAGCGCTTCGCTCGAGCGCGGGCGCTGGTTGCGCGACGGCTTCTTGATCCCGAGCACCTTGTCGATGGTTTTCGAAGCCTTTTTCCACTTTTTGGTCACTTTGACATTCTCCATGGTCTGCACGATCGTGTCGCGCTGGATCTTGGAGCGCACGGACGCCTCCTTGCGCTGCCGAATGAGCTCGACCTTTTGCTGGATCATCGACTCGGTGCGCTCTTCGGCTTCCCGGATCTTGCGCAAAGTCTCGAGCCGCTTGTAGTCTTGAATTCGCTTCATGCGGTCGACGTTGCTGAGTTTGAGCTGCTTCTGGATCTGCCGCTGTTCGCGCTTGAGCTGCAGCGCGCGGTGGTGGGCTTCTTGGACGTTCTGGACATTCTCATCGACTTCGCGCTGCCGCTCCAAGAGCTCGGTCTTCTTGCGCTCCTCCTCGCGCCGTGCGTCTTCCAATACCAATTGCCGCTTGCGCTCCATGAGCTCCATTTCCTGTTTCGCGAGCTCGCGTTGCCGCTCCTGCTCGGCGCGGACTTGGGCCCGGAGAAGCTCGCTCTGGCGCTGCTTGCTTTGAATCTCGCGCTTCCGCTGCTTCTCAACGCGGCGCGCTTGGCGAAGGTTGCTATCGATGCGCGCGGCGACCGTCTCCCGCCGCTCCTCCATCTCGCGCATGCGCTGCTCCTGCTGCTCTTCGAGCATGCGCTGGCGCGTCTCCTCGGCGACCGTGAGCTCTTGCAGCCGGGCTTGGATCTCGCTCTGCTGCTTGGCAAGGATCGCTTCGGTCTTCTGCTTGTGCTCCTCGGCTTTCTTCTGGCGCTCTTCCTCGCGGAGCTTGGTCTCGATCTTCCGGAGCCGGTCTTGCCGCGCCTTTTGCTCGGCGAGCTCTTTATCGCGCTGAAACATTTGGGCTGCAATTTGGCGCCGGCGCTCCTCGGCGGCGTCTTCCTGGGCCTTCTTTTGGATCTCCTTGAGCCGCTTCACCTCGGCGAGCTCCTTGACGCGCAGCACTTTCTCGTGCTCGAGCTGGTCGTGGAGCTGCTTCTCACGGAGGACCTTTTGTGCCGCCTCTTCTTGCAGGCGGTTCATCTTCATCTCAAACTCGAGCATTTGCTCAATCTCGCGCTGCTGCCGAAACTGGACCTTCTCGAGCCGGCGCTTCTCGAGATCGATCATGCTCGACTGCGCATCCGACTTCTTGGGCGGCGAGTTGGACGGCGACCGGTGGCTGCCCGGCACAGCTTCGTTGCTGGCGTCTTCTTCGGCCAAGATGGCCTTCTTCTCGGCGCGGACGAGCTTCATTTGGTCGTGTCGGCGCATGCTGTAGGCCTCGTGGCGCATCTTTTGCACGGCAGGGCTCACGCCCGCGACCTCGAACGACTCGAGGTCCCGGATCTTGAGCGTCTCGGGGTTCACGCCCGTGCGCAGACAGGCCTCGGCCGACCGCGGCGAGAGCACGATCTTCTCGGGCGGCGGGTTGATGCCATCCGCCTTGAGCGTCGAGACGGACGAGAAGACCTCCTCGATCGTCTGCGGCCGGAGCTTGGACTTGCGCTTCTTCCGCTTCGCCCCCTCGTCCGCATGCCCGTCGAGGTCGACGATCCCGTCCGCGTCCGTTGGCATGCTTCAACTCGTTGTAATTCTCAAACGGCCTTGGCGGATTGGGCTAAAAATAGATCCAACACGAATTCCGGATGCTTATGCGGAATTCATGGCTGGACTACTCTAAGATGCTCTCAGATTGCCGTGAGATTGATGTCTGGAGAACTTGTCTGATTTTATAATCGGTGCTTGATGCACTCCGGTCGACAGCCGCAGCCAGTAGCCGCGAGCATATCGAGCTGGAAGACTGAGACGAGCACGCGGCTACTGGCTGTGGCTGTCGCCCGGAGCGCGTCAAGCACCGATACAACGACGCACCACAACGCCCCACAACGTTGTCGTCTTTGGCACGCGTTTTACATTCACGGCGCGCTAGTGGATATCAAGTGCGTGCGCGTCCTTGGTGGCCGTCGGCGCGTCGGGAATATAGTACGCGTACCGGCCAAAGTGAACGACGTTGCGGTGCGTTGTGGTGCGTCGGTGCGTGGCGCGGTCGCATCAAACAAAGTCGAGAATTGGTGCGCGATCGGTGGGACTGCGCTGCACGCAAACACCAAACTGTCGAGCAGGAGCACGTCCGTGACCACGGGCTCTACGAGGTTGTCGTATCGGTCGACGAGAGTCTAGACGGGTGTGTTGCCCTCGAGCGCCTCGAGCGCCTCGAGTCGAGCGTCGGTGTCGAGTCGCAAACGAGCGAGGTCGAGGCGCACCGGCGCGGCTGGCTTGATCGAGCTACTGCGCTCTGCCGCCTTGCTGCCGAGATCGTCTGCCGGGCAGCGTGGACACCACTTGGGATGTGCTTGTGTTTGGCAGCTACGAGACTGTCGTGGTCCCGTTGCAGCGCCTTGAACTCCGCCGCCTTGACGACCGCGTTGATTTTGAGGCGACAGATCGCGTCAAAGTGCTGCATGGACCGGCTTTCGTAAAAGTTGCGAGGCTAGTCTTTACCTCGGGGATGCGAGTTTGGCGAGTGTTCGACTCGGTCGTCACTGGAGCTTCCAGCGCAGCAATGCGCAACTCCTGGCCGTGGCGGAGCTCGCCGGGGATCGCAGTGCCAATCATGCTGGGACAGGACGAGTCCCAACGGTTTGTCGCGCGCGAACATGCGGCCCGAGTCGTCGGTGGTGTCTCTTGGAGAGGGCGTCATGGACTTCGTACAGGCAGCGTTGCTAGAGCTGTTCCAGCGGGGTTTGGTCATCGTTGTCAGTGTTGCCGTCGCTGAAGTAAAGTGAAGAATGCACTCGACACACTTTTGAATGGCCTTTTCGGTGAAAGGGTCTTCGTTCGGGACAGGGCTTCAACCCAAACCCTCGTGACGATGAGAAAATGCAAGTGTCTACAAGACGAAGTGATAGATCTGTGATATATCGTACGAGTACACCAGCAACCAACACGCGCGTTAGCTCATGACACTCCAAGCAGCCTAGGCCTTTGGGCCTCCTCTCCGTACAACGCCTTGGGTGGCGTCTGCGTGATTACCGTGCCTCATTGCGTGGATGCGCAGAGTAGTAAGGTTATCGCTCCACAGACACATTGCGTAGTCTCTACTCGGTGTATTGTGCTTCCACTGTCGCTTGCAGCGAGTTTGGCTTTGACAGTCGACCACCGCTTCGAAGAAGATGCATCGTATATTCACGGGTATTTACGCAACGCCCTTGACCGCAACGTGGACGGCGCCGACGACCTTGCCGACCGCGTGCGTCCGGCTGGCGCGAAACACGAGCGGCAGGTCCGGGCGCAAGTACTCGGAGCAGTAGACAAACTCAAAGCGGAGGTAACACACGTCCTTCTCGTATGCGACCCGCACGATCTTGGCCGTTTGCTGGATCGGACCTGCGTGAATGACGCCCTGGACGTTCTCCTTGAGCACAACGCTCTCGTCGACGAGCTGGACTTCAGCGTCAAACTGCCGCGTCGCGATCGGCTACAAGCACATTTGTCGAGATCTCTGCGAAACAAAGTTAGAAGTAGCGTACGCGCAAGCTCGGGTGCACAAGCATCATGCCTTTGCGCATCATGGAAAAGTCAATCTACGCTCGGATATGACTTGATACATTGAAATTTGTTGCACATACCGCCGAGTTGATGCTCAAAAGAAGCGCGCCGGCTTGGCCTGCAAAGATGCGCTTGGCGGGCGTTCTCTGGACTTCGATGCTCTTGACGTGCACGCCGTAGAACGCGCCGGTGGCTGTCGGGCCGAGCAAGAGCGAGTCACCAACGCTCACTGTGCCACTAGTGATGCATATTCAATGGAGGCGGCGACGAGCAAACTCCATGAAGTACCTCTTGACGAGACCTGTCACGATGCTACCCGCCTCCGTGTCGTAGTACCCGCTCAAGTGCACCTCGGCCGAGCACTCGTCGCGGGATGTCCATACCTACGCGCCTGCGTCATGCAAAGACGTGACGATGATAAGACTACGCGCGTGGGCAGGATCGCCGCCAAGAAGGTCTGCAGCTGCGGCAATGAGGCCCCCGTGACGCTCGAGACAATAAAGATGGGCACGGAGCCAGCTATGCACGGCGCTGCCGTCGTATCTGCGACTACGTGGGACGCGTTCTTCATCGACTACGAGTCGATCATGGGCATGAGCCACCATAGCATTGATTGAGGAAACCTCGAGAAGCGCCTGGACTTCGGTGACTGTCGCCGCTATCCTGGGCGCCGCCGCCACATCGGCCTTGGTGACAACGACAAAGACGGCGACGTCGAGGCCCAGCACGATCTGAAGGTGCTCGCGCGTCATTGTCTGCACGCCTTGCGTCGCGTCGACGACTAGCATGGCGTAGTCGGGAAACTGACTCGTCAGGCCCGTGGCTAGGCAGGTTGCTCAATGCAAAACGATACAAGTGCAACCAGTGTACCTGTGATCTTGAGGTAGCGCTCGTGGCCCGCGAGGTCGCTGAACATCACGAGCTTGTGGCTCTGGGACTCGATGCTGGACGCGTGGCGGCTCTCGAACGTGTTGAATCTGCAAATCTTGCCGTCCTTGGTCACGCCTACGCGACTCGTTCGATTAGGTTCAACCAGGTTGATGAGGACAACCCATGATCTGCTCGCTGATACTCGACGTCCGACCGTCTTCTACCTCGTGCAAGTGGCTATGCGCATGCTGAGAGCGATGCGAATCAGCGCGTTTAGCGTACCGGAAGACTTGCATGCGCGCCAGCCCATGGCCGTCGTCGAGGCAGCCGCGGGTGAGCACCCCGATAAGCGTCGACTTGCCGCTCTCAACACTGCCAATCACCGACACTAGCAAATCACGTTAGCACTCCAGCGTCGATGCAATGGACAAGGTACCTCGCACTTGCTTCTTTGCATGCGTGTCGGCGATGCGCGAGATGCACACCCGCGCGGCCTTGCGACCGGGCTCGTAGCCATCGCGGAGCGTAACGAGGCGCATATCAGCACCGAGCACTTGGCACATGCGGTAGAGCGTGGCAAGGCTCATCTCGAGGTCTTCTGGCGACATGCCCACGATGCGACCGCCGTCCGAGACACCCATCTCGTAAAAGGCTTCGCCATGGCCTTCGTTGAGGCGCCAGTTCATCTGCGTCACGAGGTGCTGGAAGCGCTCTAGCTCGGGCGTCAGCGCCATGGAGCTGCGTGGGCATGTACCTGGCGACGGGTTGAGCAGCTGGACCTTGTACTCGACGTTGCCCTGCTCGACCTCGGCGGGCAGCATGTCCATGGCCGGCGACAGGTTTCTGATTTTGAATCTTTTCGTGAAGCATGTCCGGATACGTCTATTTTTATCCGGTATGCCGCCGCGCCAACGCAAGTGTGAAACCCCTCGAGAAACTTCTCTCGCTTCAGAGGGCGCCACGATGTTCTTGCGGTAAAGACGCCGCTTCTGGCAAGTGTTTAACGCATATTGCGTCCAAGGGTAAACGCACACGGTCATCAGGTCGTCAACAATCCAGCACACAGAGTCGAGCGCGTTCATGCGTTTTCTCTTCCCGCCTTAAATTTTACTAACCCTCTTTCGCGCCAACTTGCAGCCACAAAAGCTTCGACTCGATCGCTAGCACTGACACCTAGTCGCGTCAAGACAATCCTGTTGGTACCGGTACAGCTTCGACCATCGTACGGACAAGCAACAGCTGTGCTCAGCTGTGCTGACGACTGCACTGCCGACGGGTTTCATTCGTAAAACGAGTTGTGTTGAAATTAATAGCTATTGAACGATAAATCAGGTCCATGGCATGTTGCTGCTCGTTGTAGCAAGGTACTTTGCGAAATCGAATCACTCATACCTCGCAACTGCCTCGCGACCGAAAGTGTACTGGTGTGCGTCTTTGCTCCGGTGGTCGCGCAACCCTCGAGTTTGTGCTCGATGCGTTTCTAGTGCGTTGAGCGTCAGATTTCCACGGCACATGCGCGCGAGACCCATGTCTGGGTGACCGCAACCCTTGCCGTCCTTGGTGCCTTGCTTGAAGGATACCAGTCGAGCACCTGCCATCGCGATGCAAACACGAGCACATCTCGCGCTGCCACGTCATCAGCGGGTCATCTATTTATAGAGTTACGTAGCACATGCAGCGACGCGCGTGGACGCGGCTGCTCGCGGCTCTCTTCAACACGGCGGCGATGACGGTCTTTTATGGCCTTGCGGTCACCAAGTACATTCGGACCGGCGACTCGATCAACGATGTGCTCGGCTACAACACGGCGACGCTCTTGATCCATACGCGTGTGCTCCCGTTCATCGATATGGACGTCGTCTCGGGAGGGTACGGGATGCCCATTTCACGCCAGAGCTTGAACCTCTCGACCACGGGCGTCTCGGTGCGGATGCGTCTCGGTGCGTCAACCTCGACGCTCAATGCGATGACGACGCCAGGGTCGGCCACGTACTTTGCGAACATGGCGCTTGCGACACTCGGGCTCAATAGCTCGTCTCTGCTAACTACGCCATGCGGGAGCTCGGCGCTGCTGCGGTCCACAACAAACATGCTCGCTAAACCGTCGCCAAGTGCGACGTGGTCGGGCATCAACAACCTCCCGACGACAATCAAAGCAACCACCAACGTCGCCCAAATGACGCAATCGATTCTGAGCGACGGTCGCTGCCAGGCTGATTTGAAGCTGTACCATCTCGAGGCGTTTGAGCTATGGCAACGCCACATGCACACGTTCAATGCCTTTGAAACCACGCTTCGCACTACCTTTGTGCTCCACAACAACGATACGTCCTCCCCAGCAAGCAGCGACAACAAGGTAGTACATTGGACGTTCCACCCGAACGAAGGCGACTTCAACTGGTTCTTCTACCGTGCGTACGACGCCTCGTACAACGCCGCGGCGCTGGCGTGCCAGCTCGTTAGCATGGCGCTCCTCGTCACCGGTTTCGTGCGGCGCGTAGCCTACACGACGCCGAATGGCGCGCGCAAGATGCTTGTGCGCTACTCGACGAACCTCCTCGCACCCCAAGCTGCCTACTACAACAGCGCCATTGTCAACTTCCTCGAGATCTACATGATTGTGAGCAACCGGTTTGCGTTCTTCCGCACCGTGAACGCGCTCGACTTTTTCATGACTGCGGGCTGGGGCTTTGATGCGTACTTGCTCTACGGCAACTACATCAACCTCATGGGCAGCGTCTTCTGGGTCGTGCTCGGTATGCACAAGGCGCTGAGTTTGCTCTTTTACAGCATTGCGCTGGTCTCGCAGCGGACACAGCTCGCCAAGCACAAGGTGTCACCTGGAGCGATGCGGCGCGACAGCGTCTGGTACGACGAGAACGGCCGCGTCCAGACGATGCCTGTCAAACCGCCGACGTTGCGGCAGCGCAGCTCGAGCACTCTGAGCTCGCTGCAGGAGCACATTTACGCAACCGGCTTCCAGCGCACGCACGTACCCCGCGGACTCGTCCTCCTCAAGGAGATAATGCGACCGCGGCCCGACTGGATCATCTGCTGCATGGCGGCGTGGCCGAGCTTGTACTATGCTGGCTTCTTCAACCAAGCCACTGCGTGGGCACCGCTAGCTCCGATCAACTATAGCGCGCTGGGCAGCCGCCTCGGCGCCGACATGATGCTATGGAACTTGGTGGTTTGCGCTATCGTAACGCTGCCGTTCAACGCGATCTTTGTGCTCTGGCGCTGCGATGCCCTACTGTCGAACGGTTGGGTCCAGCTGCGCAAGCCCGGTCGCGCGTACTACAATGAGTTTGCGCTCTTGCGGCCGAACGAGAAGCTCGAAGCCGCGTTCGAAGGCCAAGTCGATTCGGTCGTTCTTATGGTGCTGCTCTTCCGCCGGCATGCAAGAGAGCGCGGCGTGTCCGTTGCCTGTTGCGTCTCGATCCACGAGCTGCTGCACGACGCGGTTCTGAGCGAATTCGAGGCGTTTTACGCGCTCTTTGACCCAATTGACGCCAACTACGCGGCGCAGTGCCTTGTGCAGCACCCGGCGGGACCCAACCCGTTTGAGCGATTTCCCATGGTGCGCGTAGGGTCGTACCGTCACCGCGGTACGCTCCTCTCGTGGCCGCGCTCGCACCAACCGGGCATCGAACCGTGGGACTTTGAGCAAATGTTTCTCAAGCGCATCTACGTCGTTGGCGCCGACGACGTCCTTATCGAGACACCCGCGCAAGGCCCTATACTCCCCTTCGGGCGGTCGTTCCGATTCGCGCCTGGCATCGACGAAAACGAGCCATGACACCCATAGTACGCTCAACTGTCTCCCGGAGTGTAGCCGAGTACTAGGACATAGTCGCTATAATCAAGGGAAAGGTATGGTTCTCCTGTTTGTCATTGACGCTTTATAACCGAGTTCACCCATGCGTTAGTGGTCATTGCTCGATGCTGGTTTGGCCGTGCGTTTGGGTGGAGTTCGCATTGGCCAGACCGACTCGACATGTACTGACTAGAGCCTTCGCTCAACGACCAGCCCGATATAAACAGCGATCACGCCATTAGTCGGAAAAGTCGCTGTGTCCGTTCCAGTGGTTACTAAAAAGTGCAGTTGAAGCAAAAAGTGAAGCGACGATGGGGCTGGCGAAGCGCGTGCCCGAGATCCTCGGGCTCCTCTTCACGGCAACGACCGGCTCGCTCTTCTACTGCCTCGCGTTCTCCAAGTACATTCGGAGCAGCGATACCGTCAACAACATGCTCGGCTACAACACGGCCGCGCTCGCCTTGCACCAGCGCATGCTGCCGTACTTCGACTTGGACGCGCTGTCGGCTGGCTACGGCACGCCCATTACGTATGCTATGCTCAACATGAACGAGACGGGCATCTCGATGCGCATGCGGCTCTCGGCGGCAACATTAGACCTCAACCACATGGTGACGCCGGGGTCCGCGCTCTTCTTCTCCAACATGGCACTCGCAACCCTCGGCCTCAACGTCACTTCGTTTCCAGTCGCTTGTGCGTGGGCGACCAATACGACCAAAGGCATTAGCGTCACGACCAAGTACTCGACGTCGATGGCCGGCAA